CTCTTTGGGCCCCTTGGTACCAATTGAGCATCGTTGCAACACCACAGCCTACCTGAGTATTGTTGCTGACCATGTCCATCCCTTTATGACCACAAAACCGTTACTAGCGTGGTGTACCTAATAAAGTGGCCAGTGAGTGTATGTCGTAAAAACTAAAACTAAAAGTAAACATGACAGATTTAGACAGACCAGAAGCTAATAGAAGTGGGCTTGAGCAAGTCAGGCCAACTAATCTTCATGTCTGGCAGCAGATCCTGCAAACACATACACAGATTTTCTACGCATTAGAGGATGATGCACTGTCTTGAAGTCAGAAAAGAATAAAGACATATATCACTTACCTTCTCAAATTACAATTGTAATCACAAAGCTTATACACTAGTATAGAAAAATCACTTGGGCTTAACAGAGTTACCTCGATCAGGGAAGAGTTGAAATGCCATGATGAATTGCAGTCGTTCCCATTATCTGGCCTGAAACACCGAGACTCAAAATCATTCCCAAAAACATAATTGGGTTAATAAGTAAATCAGTAAAGTAAAGAAGACTAGCTGATGTCATACATTTCCTCTTTTTCATAACATCATTATGTGGTTTTATTTGCTCAACCCAAACAATTTTCAAGCTAGTTGCACAAATGTAAAACTTTTTAAGGAAGTGTCTGCAGTTCTCTAAAGCATAAAGTAGATAAATTYCATCCACCTTAAATCTACAAACATATCCACACACTTACCAAAGTCCATGTAGTGTCCAGTAGCTAATCTTGGGATGACAGTGTTCCAGCTGAAGTGCAGAATACAATAAATCAAACAACTAATAGATACAATGTTTGCATTCGTACACAACCTCCATGTGTTGCTATTATATTTCGCTATTATTAACATTCTATTACAAAAGCTGTAACTAGCATTCATAGACTGTATATGAAAAAGTTTGGAGTCTAAATTATAGATGAAAATTAAACCAGTTGTTTTAAATCTATAACATTGTGCTTTTATTAAACCAAAAACTACAACGTTTTTCTTCCGTTTTCCTCCACAACTAAAATTCCTAATTTGAATTGGTAATCAGTAATTTTGCAGYTTTGCAATCAAGACACCATTTGTATTCTTAACAACAAATTTAATAACTGAATCTAACAAAAAAAACTAATGCATTATAGAACTGCGAAATGTTCAACTTTGCTTAGTGCAGTTAATTATGTTTCAGTTTAACCACAAATGCAACTATGGTTTGTGTTTTTGAGTACGAACAAATGTGCATTAATTTACATCAGTAAGGGTCAGCAAAATAACAGAGAAACTTTAAATCATCAGCCTAATAGGATAATTGCCAAAGTCATTTGTGGCCAAATATGTCTT